CAAAAATTATTCAAAGTAAAATATGAGATTTCATTAAGAGGATATACCACTCCAAAAAATTTCAAACGAAAAATTTTTCAAATATTAATAAGAGGATATACCACTCCAAACATTTTTCAAAGTAAAATATGAGATTTTATTAAGAGGATATACCACTCCGAAAAATTTCAGACGAAAAATTTTTCAAATATTAAGAGGATATACCACTCCAAAAAATTTTCAAAGTAAATATCATATCATGAAAATAAAATTTGAGTTTTCGTTAAGAGGATATACCACTCCGAAATTTTTTTAAAATATTAAGAGGATATACCACTCCTAAAAATTTCGGACGAAAAACTTTTCAAATATTAAGAGGATATACCACTCCAAAAATTTTCGAACAAAATTTATTTGAAATATTAAGAGGATATACATACCAAAAATTTTTCGAAGCAAAATATGAAATTTCGTTAAGAGGATATACCACTCCGAAAAATTTCGGACGAAAAATTTTTCAAATATTGAGAGGATATACCACTCCAAAAATTATTCAAAGTAAAATATGAGATTTCATTAAGAGGATATACCACTCCAAAAAATTTCAAACGAAAAATTTTTCAAATATTAATAAGAGGATATACCACTCCAAACATTTTTCAAAGTAAAATATGAGATTTTATTAAGAGGATATACCACTCCGAAAAATTTCAGACGAAAAATTTTTCAAATATTAAGAGGATATACCACTCCAAAAAATTTTCAAAGTAAATATCATATCATGAAAATAAAATTTGAGTTTTCGTTAAGAGGATATACCACTCCGAAATTTTTTTAAAATATTAAGAGGATATACCACTCCTAAAAATTTCGGACGAAAAACTTTTCAAACATTAAGAGGATATACCACTCCAAAAATTTTCGAACAAAATTTATTTGAAATATTAAGAGGATATACATACCAAAAATTTTTCGAAGCAAAATATGAAATTTCGTTAAGAGGATATACCACTCCAAAAATTTTCGAACAAAATTTTTTTGAAATATTAAGAGGATATACCATACCAAAAATTTTTCGAAGCAAAATATGAAATTTCGTTAAGAGGATATACCACTCCGCAAAATTTCGGACGAAAATTTTTCAAAATATTAAGAGGATATACCACTTTGAAAAATTTCAGACGAAATTTTTTTAAAATATTAAGAGGATATACCACTTCGAAAAATTTCGGAGATTTTTTTTTTAAATATTAAGAGGATATACCACTCCAAAAATTTTCGGACGAAAATTTTTTAAAATATTAAGAGGATATACCACTTTGAAAAATTTCAGACGAAAATTTTTTTAAATATTAAGAGGATATACCACTTCGAAAAATTTCGAAGAAATTTTTTTTAAAATAATAAGAGGATATACCACTCCAAAATTTTTCGAACAAATTTTTTTTGAAATATTAAGAGGATATACCATTCCAAAAATTTTTCGAAGCAAAATATGATATTTCGTTAAGAGGATATACCACTCCGAAAAATTTTTCAAATATTAGGAGAATATACCACACCAAAAATTTTGCGAAGCAAAATTTGAGATTTCGTTAAGAGGATATACCACTCCGGAAAATTTCGGACGAAAAATTTTTCAAATATTACGAGGATATACCACTCCAAAAATTTTGCGAAGCAACATATAAAATTTCATTAAGAGGATATACCACTCCGAAATATTTCGGAAGAAAACTTTTTCAAATATTAAAAGGATATACCACTGCAAAAATTTTGTGAAGTAAAATATGAAATTTCATTAAGAGGATACCACTCCGAAAAATTTCGGACGAAATTTTTTTTGGAATATTAAGAGGATATACCACTCTAAACATTTTTCAAAGTAAAATATGAGATTTTATTAAGAGGATATACCACTCCGAAATATTTCGGAAAAAAACTTTTTCAAATATTAAGAGGATATACCACTGCAAAAATTTTTCAAAGTAAAATATGAGAATTTATTAAGAGGATATACCACTCCGAAAAATTTTTCGAATATTAAGAGGATATACCACTCCAAACATTTTTCAAAGTAAAATATGAGATTTTGTTAAGAGGATATACCACTCCGAAAAATTTCGGACGAAAAATTTTTCAAATATTAAGAGGATATACCACTCCAAAAATTTCATTAAGTGGAAATACCACTCCGAAAAATTTCGGACGAAAAATTTTTGAAATATTAACAGGATATATCATTCCAAAAATTTTGCGAAGCAAAATATGAAATTTCATAAAGAGGATATACCACTCCGAAAAATTTCGGACGAAAAATTTTTCAAATATTACGAGGATATACCACTCCAAAAATTTTGCGAAGCAACATATGAAATTTCATTAAGAGGATATACCACTCCGAAATATTTCGGAAGAAAACTTTTTCAAATATTAAGAGGATATACCACTACAAAAATTTTTCAAAGTAAAATATGAGATTTTTCAAATATTAAGACGATATACCACTCCAAAAATTTTTCAAAGTAAAATATGAGATTTCATTAAGAGGATATACCACTCCGAAATATTTCGGAAGAAAAATTTTTCAAATATTAAGAGGATATACCACTCCAAAAATTTTTTAAAGTGAAATATGAGATTTTATTAAGAGGATATACCACTCCGAAAAATTTCGGACGAAAAATTTTTCAAAAATTAAGAGGATATATCACTCCAAAAATTTTGCGAAGCAAAATATGAATTTTCATTTAGAGGATATACCACTCCAAAAATTTTTCAAAGTAAAATATGAGATTTCATTAAGAGGATATACCACTCCGAAATATTTCGGAAGAAAAATTTTTCAAATATTAAGAGGATATACCACTCCAAAAATTTTGCGAAGCAAAATATGAAATTTCAATAAGAGGATATACCACTCCGAAAATTTCTTAAAATATTAAGAGGATATACCACTCCTAAAAATTTCGGACGAAAAATTTTTCAAATATTAAGAGGATATACCACTCCAAAAATTTTGCGAAGCCAAATATGAAATTTCATTAAGAGGATATACCACTCCGAAAAATTTCGGACGAAAAATGTTTCAAATATTAAGAAAGGGGATAGTCCGACAAATACCATTTTAAAGTCACGTGATACTGGTGGCAAAAAACGTATGTCCATTGATTATGTCGTTGATATCACCTACAAAAAGCTACTGGTGGTTAATTACTATTGAATTTTAATATATGTTCCCACTAACATTTTACAAACGCGTTTCTGAAGTAGTATTGACCAATCAGAGGGCAATTTTAATACTTACAATTGTTGCGAGACTCACTTTTGTCGCATCTGCTGTCTGTTGTAATCAATACATTCTGAACTTAAACTGGGTACCCGTTTTCTATTTGCTTCTTTTCGAGTTGGAGAAAGGTTAATGTGGTCAAAATTATTAGCTGTGTTTGTTCGTTGTATTATTTTCGAAAATAACTTTGACAAACTAATTGATGACAGTGACGGATTCTATTTCAGGTAAGAATTTTATGAACAATAATTAGACAGCAATTTTTTTGTCAATTTTACTATCACCGCTGTTTAAAATGTATTCGACAAGGATAGAGAAAAATCACGTGACTTTAAAATGGTATTTGTTGGACTATACCACTTTGAAAAATTTTGAACGAAATTTTTTTTAAATATTAAGGGGAAATACCACTTTAAAAATTTTCGAAAGAAATTTTTTTAAATATTAAGGGGATATGCCACTTTGAAAAATTTCCAACGAAATTTATTTTAAATATTAAGAGGATATACCACTTCAAAAATTTTCGAGTAAATTTTTTTTAAATATTAAGAGGATATACCACTTTGAAAAATTTTGAACGATAAATTTTTAAAATATTAAAGAGATATACCACTTCCAAAATTTTCGAAGGAAATTTTTTCAAAATATTAAGAGGATATACCACTTTGAAAAATTTCGAACGAAATTTTCTTTAATATATTAAGGGGATAATACCACTTTGAAAATTTTCGGACGAATTTTTTTTTTAATTTTAAAAGGATATACCACTCCAAAAAAAAAAGTCAAATATGATATTTTATTAAGAGGATATATCACTCCGAAAAATTTTCGAAGGAAAAATTTTTAAAATATTAAGAGGATATACACTGTAAAAAATTTTCGAAGTAAAATATGAGATTTCATTAAGAGGATATACCACTCTGAAAAATTTCGGACGAAAATTTTTTCAAATATTAAGAGGATATACCACTCAAAAAATGTTGTGAAGCAAAATATGAGATTTCCTTAAGAGGATATACCATTCCGAAAAATTTCGAAGGAAAATGTTCTCAAAAATTTTAAGAAGATATACTACTCCCAAAATTTTTCTTAAGATGTGTTGTAGCGAATTTTTTATTTTCAGAGCGTCTTATCTCGAAAACGAAAAGCTCGGGAGAAAAACTTCAAATACAAAACTTATAGATCTCGTCGAGTACTACAAAAAAGCCTATAACAAGTATCCCGCCACGGGACACCGTTTTCGAGAAAATCGACCTGGAAAATTTTAACAAAATTACAAAGAATTTCAACTTAGACAGCTGATATCTCAAAGACGAAAACCGCCTGGCATTTCAATACAAAAACTTTTTGTAGGTAATTTCATCCTCTTTCAAAAGATATATGACTCGAAACTATCGGTTGAGAAATAGTGGAGCTATAAGCGAAAAAGTGGACTCGTGTCAGGTACCCACAATTTTTTTCTGATCAAAATCGAAATTTCCTTTTTTATTTTTTTCGGCCTTAAGATGTGCCGTAGCGAGGAGGGTCAAATTAACTTTTCATCGTATTTTTGGCTCCTCAATCCGCTAGATTTATTTATTTTTTTCTTGAATTCAAATTTTGAATTTTTTCACTGTATTTTGCCACTGCCGCATACTGTCAAAAACCCCTATAATCATATATCAATGTGATATAAATTTTACATTTGCTTTAACATGACAGGTTTTAGTTAAAAAAAAAACCAAGACAATTTTTATAGAAATATGTATCTTTATTCAAATATAATAATAAACCCAATAGTAATGATAAATAGTGATACTTGAATGCAGAATAAATCGAGAATACAAATAAGTCAAAAATCAATTGTAGGTATATTTGGACTTAAAATACAATATAATCATGATTGCTAACCAACAACAACCCCTTATCTGACGAATAAGGTTGCGGTTAGATAACAAGAACTCATCCTATTATTGAACAAAAAAAAAACCAGTAACAATATAATAATTAAAGTTCGCCGTACGAGTCTAGCACTATGGAAAGAATGCGGATAAAAAAATTGCAATATTGCCTGTTTGACTTCCATTAGAAAATACCTTGATATTTATCTATGTCACACACCTACATTTATAAGGAAAAAGTAATATTTGAAAACGCTGCGCGCACGCCCATGACAGGCAGCATAAAGCTCGAAATGAATGGCGTTATTCCCCCTTGCCCTTCCGACGTCGTAGTGCTAGACTCGTAAGGCGAACTATACACTATACTTTACAACCGAAATACAAAGGTTTTAAGTCAAAAAAAAGAAAGAAAAAAAAAATGCAAGGCGCCAACTGAATACAGTGTAAAAAAAGAAAAATCTTAAAAACTAAAAAAATAAATTAAATTAATTATTGATAATAATATTAATTATATACTTAAAAATAAATCCAAAATTACTTAATAAAATGTACAAGTTATTAAACTTTATTAATAACTAATTAAACACGGTTATAATGTCAATTTTCTAAAAACTTAACATGAATATTTTTTTTTTTTTTGTGAAAGAATAGATGAACAATAATTTTCCAACATATTATTAGGTTTGTTCCAACCCGTCAAAAAACCGCCTCACGAACGGTTTCGAAACCACTCTGTATACAAATTTCGGGTTATACGCACAACTTTCCGGTGTGTTGGAACAAAGCTAATAATTACCAATAAAAACTCATCTTATTAGGCACTAATTTTAAGAGGGGAGATAGAGACTTATTGCTTCTATAGTGCTTTTAAACAATCATCCAATTAATAAAAAAATATTAGTCAATAATAAATCTACAATATGTTTTATGCAAGTTTCTGATAAGCATTTTTTTGTTTGTTTTTACCCATATCATTCTAGGAAGTTTTGGTATCGAACCTGCAAAATTGAGATTCTATAATTTACAAATTCTTAGGCACTTGCTGATTTTTAAAAGCAAAAACACTATATACTACTATAACCAATCAAGATTGATTGTCTTTGTCGTCACTACTACTGTTTGAACTTGTTTTGGTTATCAACAGTACAGGACTCGGAGGGCTTTTACGTACAGTTTGCGGTATTACAGTCAAAGATTGCGGTATCCTCGGTATTATTTGAATAGCAGGATTGTTTTCCAAACGAATCGAAGCGTCTTGGTTGCGTTGGCCAAGCCTTTCAACTTGTTTGTCTAATTTTTCCAAAATCGACTCACTGGATTCGATTTTTGTTTCTATTAAGGTGCCGCCTGATGTTTTGGTTAGTAATTTTCTGGCTGGTTGTTGTTGGGCAGGTTTGAGCATTGATTTTTGGTTGAGCAAGGCTTGGTGTCTTGCCAATGTTTGTTGTTCTTGGATTTTTTTTTGTTTGGCTTCGAAGCTACGTTTGATGGCGCACATTTTCTTGTAGTCTTCTAAGGTTATGTGGTAGGGTTTGCCGCCTGATATGACCTGAGGAAAAAAAAAAGAAAATTACTGATAATTTGAATCTTGAAACTTTTGTTGAATAATTGGCAATTGAGATTTAGTAATAAAGAAGCTATTTATTGCTTCTACAAAAACTGTCCTAATACTGAAGATAATTCCGAATTTATAGTGGTTTTTTGAGGTTTTCTTGGAGGATCTTAGTTCATGGACATTTGTTACTATTTTGCAAGTTTATCATGTCAATTCTAAACGGCCAATGCCTAAGGTTCAAAAAAACCTCAAAGAGCAACTATAAATTCCGACCATTAGTAGAATGGAAATGCCGTCAATTTTTTTGACAGGTCATTAGATTTCAAAATCACTCAAATTATCAAACTGACTGGACATTTGGGCATCCAAAATTGTCAAAATAATAAAATGTAAATCTTTTTGAAAGCTTTTCTGATTATATAATTTCAATTTGACAGTTTTCAAAATTTGTCAATTCAAAGATTAGGTATAATTTGTTTTCAATGAAAACCCATCAAATCAGGTATCAATTCTAATTTACTTTAAAGCGACTAAAACTGTCAAAATAATTATGTATCATAGTTGGCAATTTTATTAAAAACTCCTCACACATCGAACTATACAATAATAAACTTCGACAGATGTCAAAATTTGTTCAATTGTGAAGTTACGATTCAATTTTGTATGAAAATTACTTGCATTATTATCAAGTTTCACAACATCCAAAACCCAGATTAATAGCATATCACAACTGTCAGTTTTTTTGACAGTTCATTAGGAATCGTTGGAAAATATATAATTTCAGTTTGACAGTTGTCATAATTCGCCAATTCAAGCATTACTCAAACTGTCAAAATAATTATTGTAGGAAGCTTCAAAATTGAATTTATAGAACATTAAAAATTTTCCAAAAATTACACCGAGACAGTTTTAGCCTCACAGCTCCGTTAATTTTCATCCGATTTCAATGTAATTAAGCTCTAATTAAAGTCAATTGAATTCTCTATAAACATAGGTGCAATTAGGAAGGTGCTTGGGGATGCTAAGCACCCCTAAAGCAAAAATTAGCACTTCCATTCGGCATCTCACTATAGCACTACCTACAGTGAAACTACCTAACACTAATATAAAAAGTAGTGCCACCAAATTATTATTTTTTTTTGCACTTTTTGTACTTACTTACGTCATCGATGACGTCATAATTTAGAAAAAAGTATTTGTCGTTGATTAATTCATAAAGCACATTCACATTCGCAATTATTATTGTTTTGGAATAAAATTTTTCAACCGGAGCTGGTATTAAAATATTACCTTAAAATCAAGACTTACCCTAAAATATATCTACAGTTTTTATATTATATTTAGGATGACGTCATCGAACAAGGTCAAACAATACTGTCAATGTCTATGTTTATTCTATATCTTAAGGTGACATTAAAATACTGGCCCTTAAAAAATCTTTGGAGTCCCAAAAATATAAATTAATTAACTGCGTATTATACAGGGTGTTCCTAAATATTATGTACAAACGACAAAGGGTGATTCTTTGTTTTTTTTTTATGACTGAAATCTCAAATATGTTCTAAAAAATTTACTTATTTAAACAAAATTTTAAAAAATACACCCTCTTACATTTTAATTTTTTTCTGGAAAACTTGTAAGGGGAAAATTTTAAAAAATTTCCAGTAGAAATATAACTAGTGCATAAAATATTTCCGGAAATTTTTGAAAATTTTGTCTGAAGCCAATTTTTTAACAAAATCATGAACCCGAAGGGTGAGGGATTTTTTCTTTGGCGCTATGCACGAATGGTTTTTTTTAAAAAAATTGACTAAAGACCAAATTTTTAAAAATTTCCCTTAGGAAATATTTTATGCACGTGTTATATTTTGATAGGAAAATTTTGGAATTTTCTTATAATGAGCTCCTGACTTTCTTCTTTTTCCTCTTTTGCCAATTTTCCAGGAAACAATAAATGAAATGTGAGAGGATGAATTTTCCTTGATTTTACTTGAAAAAGTCAATTTTCCAGAATTTTCCCTAGAGTGATTTCTCACTGAAAAATTTCGAAATTTTCCTATAATGAGCTCCTCACTTTCCTCTTTTTCTTGGAAAATTTTCAAAATTTTCCTTAATTTTGCTTAAATAAATCAATTTTCCAGAATTTTTTTTGGAGTGATTTTTCATTTGAAAATTTTAAAATTTTTGCAATAATTTCTGTAATTTTCATAGTTTTTTGTTATGTCCATAATTCTCGTAATTTTTCGTTATTCACGTAATTTTTCATAATTTCCATTTTTCGTAGATTCTGTAATTTTCTGTAATATTGAGAAAATTTCTGTAATTTACAAATAATTCCTGTAATTTTGAATAATTTCGAGTAATTCCTGCATTTTTGGAATAATTCCTGTAATTCCCCTATTTTTTTGTAATTTCCGTTATTTTTCGTAATTTCTGTAATATTCGAATAATTTCCGTAATTTCAGAATATTTTTTGAAATTCTAAATTATTTATATAATTCCTATAGTTTTGAATTAATAATTTAAAAAATATAAGGATTGCAAAAATTTCGGAAAATTTTACGAAAATTACAAAAATTGAAATTAGCAGAAATTACAAAAATTTCAAAACTACAAAAAGTTACTAGATTTTTAAAAAATTATGAGAATTATAAAAATTAAAAGAATTAAAAAATTACAAAAATTGAAAAATATTAGAAACTACGAAAAAATCAAAAAATTACCGAATTTGCGAAGATTCCTCAAAAAATTACGCAAATCACAAAAATTAGAAAAATTATAAAAATTCCATTAAAAAATTACGGAAAATACAGGAATACGGAAAATATAGAATTAATAAAAATAAATTGAAAAATTATAGAAATTTCAAAAATTACAGGAATCGCGAAAAAATAAAAAAAATCGGAAAAATTGCAAAAATCACGGGAATTTTGAAAAGTCACGGGAAATACATTAATTATTAAAAAACTAAGAGGAAAATTAAAAAATTACAAAAAAATCGGGTATTACAAAAGCAATGAAAATAAAAAAAATTGAAAAATACTGGAAATTCAAAAATTATGTAAAATTACAAAAATAATTGAAAAATTACATAAAATACGGAAACTACAAAGAAAATAACAAAAATCATTAAAATTGCAAATTTGAAAAAATTACAGCACTTACAATTATTGAAAAATTAAAATGAGAATTGCAAAATTACGAAAAAAACCGGGAATGGAAATACTTATGTAATGGAAATTATTTTAAAAAATTACGGAAATTTCAAAAACTACGTGAAATTGCAAAAATCATTGGCAAATTACGGAAATGACGGAAATTCAAAAATTATGTAGAACTGCGAAAATCATGGGTAAATTGCGAAAATTAAATTTGAAAAAAATTAGGAAAATTATAAAAGTACAAAAAAAATCACGGGAATTTCAAAAATTATTTTAATTTCGAAAACATTGGAAAATAATGTATAACGGAAAAATAACAAAAATTACGAGAATTGCAAAAATTACGGAAAATTTAAAAAGTTACGGAAAATTTAAAAAGTTACGGAAACCACCATTATTAAAAACTAAAAAGGAGAATTATAAAATTTGAGTATTACAAAAGCAATGGAAATTATTGGCAATTTCAAATATTACGTAGAACTACAAAAGTCATTGATAAATTACGTAAATTACAGGAATTATAAAAATGAAAAATAACGAATATTACAAAAATTCACGGAAATTTCAAAAAAATACGGGAATTACAATTATTGAAAAATTAAGAGAATTATAAAATTACGAAAAAAAAATCATGGAAATTTCAAAAATTATGTAAAATTACGAAAATTATTGGAAAATTACATAATATGGAAAAATATTAATAAAAATCACAAAAATTTCAAAAAATCATGGAAATTACATTAATTATTAAAAAAATTGAGAGAAGAACTATAAAATTAGAAAAAAATCGAGTATTACGGAAAACAATGAAAATTATTAAAAAAAATTACGCGAATTTCGAAAATTACGTAGAATTGCAAAAAATTATTGGAAATTACGTTTTACGAAAAAATAATAAAAATCACGAGAATTTCAAAAATAACGGAAATTTCAAAAACTTACGGGAATTATCATTATTGAAAAATAAAATAAAAAAATTACGGGAATTAAAAAAATAACAGAAATCACAAAAATTCTAAAAAAATTACGGAAACTAGGAAAATCATAAAAAAAATTAGGACAATTAGAATAATTAAAGGAATTGCAAAAATTACGGAAATTACGAAAAATTGAAAAAAAAATATCGGAAATAACACAAAAATTAAGGAATTTGTTAATCAATCAAAATTATGGGAATTGCAAAAATTGCAGAAATTGCGAAAAATTTCGGGACTACGGAAAATAATTAAATTTTTAAAAAATTATGGAAATTAGAAAAGTTACAAAAGTTACGAAAATTCTGGAAATAAATCACGGAAATTTATTAACGAATTGCAAAAATCGAAAAAACCTATGATGATTTTCAAAAAGTTAGAAAATAACAAGAATTACAAGAATCAGGAATTACAATTACAAAAATTATAAATACCGGGAAATTATTAAATTTCAAAAAACGTCCAAGAAATTTAAAAAATTACGATAATTGAAAATTGAATTGAAAATTACGAAAACTATCAAAGTTACGAGAATTATAAAAAATTACGGGGATTACGAAAAAGTTACGAGAATTACGAGAATTAGAAATTACTAGGGCTTTCGGGAAATGATTTTGAAAAATGCCCAGAAAAAATACGGAAATTACGGGAATTACCTATTAATTTTTGAAATATAGAAAAACGTGGAATTATAAAAATAATGGAATTTTCTGAGAAACTACGGGAATTAAAAAATTACAAAAATTTGAAGAACAACAGGAATTAATAAAAAAATTATAAGAATTATTTGAGAAATGACAGCAATTAAAAAATTTGTAAAGAAAAATTACGGAAATTACGAGTCTTCGAAAATTACAAAATTTGCTATAATGAGCTCTTTATTTTCTACTTTTTCCCAAAAAAAAAATCAAAATGTGAATTTTGCCTAAAAAAGTCAATTTCCCAGAATTTTTCCTGGAGTGATTTTTGACTGAAAAATTTTGAAATTTTTCTATAATGTGCTCCTCACTTTTCTTTTTCTTCTGGAAAAATTTCACAATTTTTCCTTTGCCAGATTTCTAGAAAAAAATTAAAATGTAAGAGGATGAATTTTCCTTAATTTTGCTGAAAAGTAAGCTTTTCAAAATTTTTCCTGGATTAATTTTTTACTGAAAAATTTTCGTAAAATGAGCTCCTCATTTTCTTCTTTTTCCTGGAAAATTTTCAAAATTTTCTCTTTGCAAGTTTTCTAAAAAAAAATTAAAATGTAAGAGGGTGAATTTTTTTTAATTGCTTAAATAAGTCAATTTTTTAGAACATATTTGAGATTTCAGTCGTAAAAAAAAAGAATCACCCTTTGTCGTTTGTACATGATATTTAAGAACACCCTGTATAATATGCAGTTAATTAATTTATATATTTGGGACTCTAATGATTTTTTAAGAGTTGATATTTCAATGTCACCTTAAGATATAGAATAAACATAGACATTGACAACATTGTCTGACCTTGGTCGATGACGTCATTCTAAATATAACATAAAAACCCTATACTTTAGGGTAAGTCTTGATTTTAAGGTAATATTGTAATACCGGCCCCGGGTAAAAAATTTTAATTCCATAACAATAATAACTGTGAACGTGCTCTATGAATTAATCAACGACAAATATTTTTTTCTAAATTATGACGTCATTGATGACGTAAGTAAGTACAAAAAGTGCAAAAAAAATACATAAAATAATTTGGTTGCATTAATTTTTTATATAAGTGTTAGGTAGTGCTATGGTGGGATGCCGAATAGGAGTGCTAATTTTTGCTTTAGGGGTGCTTAGCACCCCCCTAGTTGCGCCTATGACAGCAGTACATAATTCTTATTTTAATACAAATATTGAGTTTCAAATTAACAAAATAAATTCCAAAAAACAGTTTTTTAACCCGCAACAGACCAAAATAAAAAGTATGAGCCAATTAAATCACTCACTGGCATTTGCTACTTGTCGCAACAGCAAGAGATGCAAAGTTTCTTATTAACAAGCCCAAAATTGTGCGCCTCAATGCCTATAAAAATTCACTCGCGCCTACAGACAAAAATGTACTCTGGCTCCTTCGCTTTCGCGCAGTTATTTAAAAGAAAAACTTACCCGGGACTCCCGGGAGTGCACTCAGTACATTCTCTAATTTTTTTTTCGTATTTTACGGGCAAGGGGCAATGTAATAATTGAGCTTTATTTATAATGTCTCGGCAATTCAAAAAAGCCCAAAAGGATATGAATTAAAAATATCATCAAATTATCCAGGCAGTATGCTTGCGTGTAGTGGATAATTTCTCTGATTAAAATTACAAACTAACCCAGACTAACCGGGTTATTATCGGTAAGTTTGAGAATATAATAATATGTCTGATTAACAATACGAATTAACCCAAACTAACTGGGTTATTATCGGTAAGTTTGATAATGATAACCGACTGAAATAAAAATGCGTGGGTGTTTCTCGCACACTGGTAGGAAAATCTATCACACATTTTACTACGCAGCATTTCAATAACAACTGTTTGGAGTGCTCAACCATACTGTTCGGAGTACGCTAACTGTTCGAAGTACTCCAACTGTTTGGAGTGAATTAACTGAGTACTGCTAAGATCAGAGTACTGTAACTATTCGGAGTACTCCTACTGATCGGAGTACTGTAAGTGTTCGAAGTACTCCTACTGATCGAAGTACGCCAACTGTTCAAAATACCTTCAACTGTTGGGGGTAATTCGAGTACACCAACTATTCGGAGTACTCCGGTTACTGCAACTGTTCGAGTACTCAAACTGTTTGCACTACTCGAAGTGTTCGGAGTACATTGCTAAACTCACCGATAATAACGTCTTCATTTATAATGCCATGTGGGCAAGCTGATATTTTCTCTACAATTCATCATTTTCATTTCGTTGTCATATCTCTTTGGGCATTTTATAACATTACATTGCCCATAATATTATACAATACCAAAAAAAACCACTACTCCCGTTTTTTTTTATTCGGAACTTGAAAAGAGTCCGAACAGTGGACAAACACCTAAGTCATTAACCGTCGTGAAAACATAACCTCGAAATCAAAGGAGCCAGAGTACATTTTGATCTGTAGCCGCGAGTTAAAAATTCGCTATCGTCTCACCTACAGTTGAAGGGTTGTGGCGGGGAGTGCCATGGCATCGCTTCGGCGTTCTTTGACGCACATGAGGCCAAAATTTTTGGGATTACTATTTTATTTTTATGCTGTCCGGCAACGATTTGAGCGCCTATAAGGAAAAATCGGTAGAAGCGCGTGCTAAATTCAAGAAATAGTATTATACTTTAATGAAAATTCGATGTTTTGATACTTTTAATGATTGAAAATAGTTGAAAAACATTAAATATTTAGTAAATATCATTTCAAAATTTTACATCATTATTGTAAATTTTACTTGTGAGGCCCGGCCTCAGTTGCTTTATACGACGAGCCGCCACTGACAAGAAGAAAAAGACATCAATAATTATTGAAAATTCTCACCTGTACAAGTCCAGGTTTTCTTTCGTTCCTCATCGCCGGATCGATCGGAATCAAATTCGGCCTCCAGTTCTTCGTGATGGGAAATTTGATTTTCTGACTGGGCACCGGAGGACGCACAATGGTACTGGACGCCCCCACTTTCTGATTGATCGAAATCAAACCGGGTGGCGCCGCTCCGGCTTTATTTTTAGCCAGATTTTGCAAAATGGTACTGGTAGGGTAAAGAGGGGGCTGGTTCAGTTGCTGGAGCGTAATCGGAGTTCTTGAAGTTTGGATCTAGAATTATTCGAAATAATAATCACAATTGATATACTATAAATGAAATTTTTAACAATCTGATGGTATTTTTATTTGTTATTAGTTTTATTATTTGTATTGTTATTTCAATTCTTACTTCATTATCAGGGCGTCCCACTTGACTAATAGTTACAGGAGGTAGTCCGTTAGAATTAGACGTATTTCTAAGATTGATTTTGGTAAATTGTACCATACTTGGAGGTTGGGCCTGCCCAACATTGCTCGGTATGTTATCGTAGGCCCTCAGACGATTGTGGACGCTTTCTTTGTAATTGACTGCGCGATTATTGGCCGATGGTGACAACACTAAGTCACCGCTCCTACATAAAAAAAAATTGTAAATATTGAGGCTTCATTTCAATAATGTTTGAGAAAGTTGTTACCTGAAATATTTCTCCAACAAAACCAAATGTCGTAAGAAGCTGCTTTTGCTGCCGTAAGGTTTTTGCAGTTCTTCCCATAGCATTTTGGTGTCTTTGTCGTATTGGATGGTGGTGACGCACTTTTCCCAGCCCTCGGGTGTACGGGCTACGACGTTTTTGAAATCTATGTCTCCCACTAGGCCCATTTCTTCTTCGCCTGAATTTTTTTTTTTTGAATCATGATTGTCTTATTCTTGATTCACTTTCAGAAATTCTAAATTTGTTCTAAAATAATCTAGAGCGTTTAAAAATGCTTACAATATTTAGGCCATTTAGGCGTGTTCTAAAATGTTTTCCAAAGAATTCCGCTGCTAATCAATTAACAAAATAGGCAGTTCCATGGTGGAATGAAGCATGTAGATCAGCAATAAAAAAAAGCAAACGGGCTCTCAATAAATGTAAAAAACAAAAATCCCAAGAAAACTGACTAGTTTTTAAATCACTTAGAGCAAGAGCCCGCTTTACAATTAAGAAAAGCTAAAAAGATTCTTGGTCCCAATATGTGTCTAGCATTACCATAACCACAATACCCCTTCCTCTGGAGTATGTAGCAAAGTTAAACGAATTTCTGGGAAAAAACCCATACTCCTGCAATTCTTTATTTGAGCAATAACAATGATATCATAACAGATAATCAAAGCATATAGCAAGTAAATACTCTAAAAAATTCATACGAAACAAATTCCAGCGACATAAACCACGATCCATTATTCGTACAGATGAAAAAATATACAGAAAAAAACTACAATCCATGACCAAGTTTTTAGAAGAAATACCAGTGTTACTAAATATGACAAATAAAACACAGAGTGGCAAAAAAGTAGCACATAATACTTGTAACTTTTTAATTACCTCGTATACGAAAAAATGACCTCAATGAAAGTTGCTCAGTAATATGTTTCCCACATTTCTACCCAGACGAATTGTTTCTGTTTCTGTCACTCCTGGATTGCTTGCTATCCAGAACAACTTTGTTTTTTTTTTAAATGAAACACCTTGTATGTAATATTCTCTTCTAAAGCTTAAAGTTGAAAAAGATGCATTAAAATCCTATCCCTGGCTTTACAAGAGTCAAAATTAAAGCTTGAAACTCCTTTCTTGACTTCAAATTTCTTGCTTGTTGCTATTATTGAGCAATTCGGTTACATCAATTTTATATTTAATGAAAAACCTTTGCAAACACCCGCCTACTAAAACTGTACGCTAGTTTACTGGTTGTTCGCGACAAGTTGGCAATCTCCGAGTTGTCATTGTGAGCAAGTCACGTTGTTCGTGTTCCATGTTCTAAACCGATGATTTATCCTAAATAAAGTATCTCTATATTGTTAAATTGGATCAGTGTTATTGAATAATCTACAGGTTATGGGCCCAGTGCTTGAATCCCGTAAGGTCCTACAAAATGTTACAGAGCCATTTGATGGAAATGGTTACTCTAACTCGGAATTTAGACTTGAATTGTTGTTAGAACACCAAGATGTATTAGACATTATAAGTATGGACCCACCTAATCCATTATCATGTGAAATGGTAAACTTCAAGAAAAAAGGCAAGAAACTTTAATCATGAATTGCTTATCTGATAATGTGCTGGAAATCATAAAAGGAAGACCAACAGCCAAAGAAATAATGGGAACATTAAGAACATATGTACAGTTCGTTTCACCAGGGTTCATACTTGACCTTGAAACTTGAAAAAAAAAGGGTTGTCGTAGATTAATTCATATGACACATTCAATTTTTTGACAAATTTAAATGAATGACTTCTGGTTTAAGAACCGACGAACATTTTTGACGTCATTGATTTGTTTCAGTCAATTTTTATTTGTTAAACAAGGAAGGCAAATGCTGGTGGCAAGTACAAACCCTGGTGAAACAAACTTTATATGAAAACAGGTGTTGCAAGTCAAATACACTTGCAGTGAAAATTAAGAAACTTGAAGTTTTCTGGAAAAGAGCCTTTAAATGACTTTCTCATGGAATATGAACGAGCCGTGTCTGAACCTGAACTAAGAAACTGTGGTGGTTCTATTGAAGAGAATGAAGTGATTTCACAGTTGCTTGTTATAATGCCTGACTCCTATCAGGGCGCGACAACAGCACTTGATGCGTTATTTTGCCAAGGAAGTACAGTTACATTAGAGTTTGTTAAAAGCAAACTGTTATCAGAAGAAACAAGACAAATAAAAAATGATATACAAGAACAAGGCTTGACTCAAGCTTTCACAGAATTTAGTAAAAAATGGAATAAAGGAAACTACAATAAAACTGGGGATTGTAGAGGAAATCAAAATAATGCAGGAAATTCATGGAAATAGTCTTAGATAATTTCCAATGAAATGTCACTATTGTGGTATTAAAGGCTATAAAAGATCACAATGTTTTGAAAGACAAGAAGATATGAATAAAAATAGATGTAATTTAACTAAGGAACACTCGGAACAACACGAAGAAGATGTGTCCATCATCAAAGTTAAGCAACTGTTTGGTGACTTTTGTTGTTGGCAATGGGGCGGGCAATCACCTTGTGAACAAAAGTGCTGGCAAACATTTAACTGATGCTAGAAATGTACATCACAAAGTGCATGTGGCAAAGGTTGGAGAAGTGATAATTGGAATGAAGCAAGGAAATCTATATTAACATGCTGAAAATGGAAAAAGTATCCTTGTAAAGAATGTCATAGAATACGAAAATTTGTCAAAAAGTCTGTTTAAAAAAGAATACAGTCAAAGTGTTACAAGGAAAACAAAATATTGCTGAAGGAGAATTACAAAATTATCTCTACATCATAAATTTTAATGTTAACATGCCTGTGACGTCAGTGCAAATGATCAAAATGTATAGCACAGAAGAATGAGTCATTCATACACTGACAAAAAAAGCTACACAAATATAACGAAAAGGTGCATTAAGCCAGTAAATCTCGTCATTAATAGAGAGTTATTGGACGTGCAATAAGGATAAGCAGTATTTAAATTAGCCTTATTTTGACATCTACGCATGCGCATATAAGGTTACTGCTTGTCTTTATTTGTGTATGGTTAGTGCAAGGCAGTAAACTTTCCTTATTTCAATATTTCTGACATTTTTGACGACTTGACGTTAAGAATTTGTTTTCTACAACAGTTTTTGATTTTACTCTAGGTAACATCAAAAAATGGGTATCAGCAGAAAATCACAAACAAAAATAAACACTTTTTGAGGTTGAAATTTATAAACATAGCTGAAACACCTACTACAGTCTTCCAATAACTGTTTTTTTCTTGGAAAAATAGTGCTGATGCACTAATAAAATAACGTAGATCCTTAATACTGCGAGGCAGTATTCAATAGTTACAATAACTCTCTAATATTGAGCCGGTGAACGAAATTATTATTATTATGAAAAGCTGTTCGTTAAATAGATGAAAAAAAGTCAAGTCAGGATTCTATCATGTTGACGTATAGAATTCGTTGCCTGAGTGAAATAACGTCTTCAATATAATGTACAGGGTGTTTCAAATTCGAACCACATCATTGGGATCTCAGAAACGGTGAGAGATACAGGGCTGGTTAAATTAGGGCAAAGTTGCGTAATTTGATGCTTACCAAAATGCCGCTTTGATATTTAGGATATTCCGAATACTTCCAGAGATATTCGCAAAAAATTTTTTGCATTTTTTCCTGACTTTATTTGAAGTGATATTTCAAAAAAAATATCACTTCATCGTAGCCACTTTTTCTCCCCTACAAGATACTAGCTTCAAATTTAAAATCTGACGTTTCGTCTTTGAGCCATCACCATCAACTTTATTTTTTCAAATACAACCCTGGATTTTTTATTTCAGATTTTCGGAGCTTCTGATGTCCCAAAACTTATGACGAATCGCATTTATTCGAAAAAATATTTTTTCTTTTTTTTTTGTAATTTCTTCAATAATTTCCTACCGAAATTCTCTTCTCTGTCTATCTCTAACACACTTAGTTCTTATGGAAATTGTCAAAAATTTAAATTTTTGGAATAAGTGCAATACGTCATTGGTTTTGAGACATCAGAAGCTTATAAAATCTAAAATAAAAAATAAGGGTCCGTTTTTCAAAAAATGAAGTTGATGATGGTGGCCCAAAGACGAAACGTCAGTTTTTAAATTTGAAGCTAGTATCTTGTAGGGGAGAAAAAGTGGCTATGATGAAGTGATATTTTTTTTCAAATCACTCTAAATAAAATCAGGAATCATATTTACATGATCCACATATCTGCAAGTCCTTCATCCTATATTTATTGTTTTCTTAGAAGAGTCGATTGCAAGAATTATATTTGTCTTTTCTTCTTTGGTTTCATATTTGAATATCATTCTTAATGTTATTTTACTGTCTTCCGTCGTTATTTTGTTTTATTATTTTTTCTATCAAAATTTGTTCATTTTCTTTTTTTTCATTTACCCCGTAATTTTCATCTAATTGTTTCTCAATGTTTGGTTGTAAAATTTTGGACTTACTTTCACTATTGCAGGTTATTGCTATATTTGACTCTAGTAATTCCCATGCCTAACGCTGATGGGTCAATCTTCTCCTCTACTGCTTGCTTTGTAATTTCACTTGTTTGGTTCTTATCTTTTGGTTTTATTATGACAACACTTTCAGCTACTTTTTTCATTTTAACTTCTCCATTGTATGTAGGTACTTATTTCTCTTCCTTTAACTTGAGATTTTTGACTTCAGTCTTAAGATTTTGAATTACTTCTTCCTGCTATCCTATTATGTTATCTTTACCATCCAATCTTGCTTTCAATAAATAACTCTTTAATACTAGGTGCAATTTACAAACCACAGGATTATCAGTATAATGAACTTTTAAATATTCTCGACAGGGTCTTTTACAAAATCAGCAGCCAAAAAAAAAATCATTTATATTTGGTGATCTTAATATAGATTTTTCAAAAACCAACATACAACGATAGATCAAAAGATTTCCAAATCTTGAATAAAAAGTATCCAATAAGAGTGTCATCTTTTTCTAATACTATAATAGACCATGTAATAACAGACTGCTTAAACTCAGCTTTAAAACTTTCTATCTTTGATGATCCAATTAGTGACCATAAGGCATAGCTGTTAAATATTACATCTAATAAGTTAATAGAACCTAATAAACACTATGCAGTAACAGTGTTAAATAAA